TTTTTTAAGTGTAGCTTTATTATCTTATTGAATAACATTATTTAAAAAACCGAAACCGTTCTTTCGTATTTTCGGAATAAATATTACAATCCTTAAAAATACATAAAACGCTTGAATGTCATTCTTGGGAGCACAATGAATAATGTATACAAAAGTATTAATCTCACCTTGAAGAAAGCCGCCGTGCTGCCACCTTTGAGAGCACCATATTTGATTTTCGTCTGCTTAGCGAGATCTTCAGCGCTTTCAATCGGGGAATCCATCCTCTCGACGGTGAGGAAAGCCGCGAGATTAGCCGTATAAGAGGAGATCATGATCAGCGTGAAGAACCACCACATACCAGCGACCATGCGAGTCGACACGGCCCTACGATAAGAGATCAAAGGCTGCATTCTATTTTCCATCGCAAGGCGTTTTAAACGGAAAAGCATGCGAATTTGAGCGCAAAGTAATCTGCATAAACCATCTCGTGTAGATTTGTGCTCGATAAAGCAGAGCGTGTCGAAAATACGAATCGTAGAAAAAGAAATCAATGACACCTGCCGTTCGAGGAAGTTTTCGAAGGTAACTTTGCGCCTTTTACGCGAAGGTAATGGAGCGTGCGGAAGTTCAACTTCGCTTTATGTAACGAGCCAGCTGTATACGTTGCAGATATAACCCGTTTCGCAGTTAAATGATTCGCGTTCGCTATTAAACGGCAAATGCGGAAGCTGGCGAGCGGGACATATATACGAAATGTGTGCGAGCGAATTATTTTACATGCGAAAACTGGCGAGTATACATAAACGCAATTATGTCATGTATAACGAGCACGTAGAATTATTGGAAACTACTTGTGTAAGGGCATTCCAAGCTTTCAGCGTATGCCATGCAATATCATGCATTTCGATAACTATGTATGTACGAGCAAAGCGTTGTGATTAATTTTGCCGCATTTGTATACGGTACACCGGAAATCGCGTTACAAAGATATAATTCTTGGACAATTTTTAAAATCATATTTTTGATAGAGCGTGTTTTCGCGCTTTCTAACTTCGAACCTTTTAATTTTGAATATTAAACTGCTAATTCCGTATAAAGTTAATTTTCTATTAAGAGAGAGTCTGCTTCGAATTAACTAGAAAGTAAAGTTTTGTTACATACTGTTGCAGCTTCATTTGCTACAATCCTTTAATTAAGATTCCTAATTAAGCCATCGATTAAATTTTCATTGTTCTTCAAGGAATGAGTCGACATCAAAAACCGTTAAGGAATATATTCCTGTCAAGTAATTCTCACGTTTTCCGGTATACTTGGTGTACAATCAGTTGCAGCAAGCCAACGATATAGCACGGCAGGTTTATCGATTCTTCCATCATTTGCATAATCTACAATAATGCGCTGTACATTCGTTTCCCTCATACGATTAAACTTAGTTTTACGCTGGTGCCAGCGACATAATGGATTCTACATTGTCGTACTCCATGTTTATATACACTGCGTGCTTCTTCAGTAACTTACTTCGGCGCTATATCGGAGCCTTGCTGCATGAGAGAGCCTATGGTGAACCAGAGCGAGTTCATTAGGGTGAACTCGTTCTCGAGGACTTCGGACTGCCCGTTGCATGGATGGGGGTTCTCCCACTCGTAGGGGCTGAACCTGCGGACAGGTGAAAGGGGAAGGACCGAGATTAGATGATAAAGCGTGCACCTATCCGCGAATTTATCTGAATCGTCATTCTCTGAAATTAACAAGATAAATTTGTGAAATTATATGCTTCGAACAATTAATGAACCAGAGATCCTTTGTTGAAGCGATATAATGATTGTTTTTATGATGAAAGCAATCTCCGCGGATAATACAAAAATATATAATAAGAAACATGTAAATATATATCTAATTATTCGCATTATTTAACCAAATATGATAAAAATGTGAAAAAACTTATTTTAATATAAATCTTATTTTCTTGGCGTAAAAAGAATTTATTTTATTATGACAAATCATTGTTTTATTCCTTCAGTTCCAGTTTAATCATATAAAACTTAATTAGTTTTCTAAATTAATTTTGCAAGATTGTACTTCATTAGTGTTATTTTTGTATCTTACTTTGTGTGCGTTTAAAAATAATGTAGTACAAGCTAACTGTAAGTGTAACATATTCTATCTTATTTCTGTATTTCTTGATGAAATATGAAAATTGCTTAATTTTGCATCTTGAGACTATTTCTGCCTGTTTTTTTTTTTTTTTTTTTTTTTTTTTTAAAAAACAAATGCGATGAGCACCTATTTGCGCATGAAGATCATTATCTCGATGCGTGAAAGGGCTTACTTTGGCAGAATATCACAACCCTGCCGCATTAGAGAGCCAATGGTGAACCACAAGCAGTTAAAGAACTTGAAGCGGTTCTCCAGACGGTCCGGATTTTTGTTGCACGGATGCGGGTTGTACCATTCGTACGGCGTGAATCTAAATTTAATGATTCCAAATACGTTCTGATCCAATGGCATTGAACATTTTTGTTATATAAAAAGTCTACCTTAAGCATTTTTGCATTTATCTTATAATAAATTCATCTCAACACATACCGTTTGAATAAATTTTTATTAACCTTGTAAATGATTTGCACAAAATAGCTAATACATTATGTAAAACAACTGTGAGAATTATATTAAAAACAAATCGAAAAATTAAATTTCTCATTAGATATCCTCATCGTGAAAAATTAAGAAACAAATATCGATATAAAATTTTGATTATTATTTAAATTTATGAAACGAAGACGTACAAAAATCATTGAAGTAAGATAGGTTCAAGTTTCCTTCGTATTTAATTTATCGATGCATCATTAAGGGAGATGCGATCGCATCGATTAGATAAGAGATCAAATTTCCAGAATAGTGTCACAACGTTTTGTCGGAGGAATTTAAAGTGGTTTCACTTGCCTGGCTAATATAAAGAGGAGCACAGAGACCCCGAGATAAGCCGTTGCCATGTAGATCCAAACGTCGAGACTAAGAGGGCTGAGGAACGAGAACAAATTCGGCGGTTGCTTTATGGGTTTGCGGTAAAGTATGCTGATCCCTGGAAATTCAAAATTCTCATTTTATGCTTAGCCACGGCGGAGACCACAGGTAGAATGCATTGATGTGTGGACACAGTGGACCGCGTATAATCACCCGTGAGATTTATTCTGGTTTTCGTTACGACCACCTATGGCTTACGAAGGTACATAATAGCTCGTAAAATTGCGTCCGAGAAATTATTTCGGAGATATGCAGGACAAAGATTGCTCGCTATATGTGATATTTTAAATTTTATTCCGCTATTTTAATTTGAGATAATAATTTTACTTCTATGACACTGTAACGTACCATTATTTTTGTAGAAATACATTTTTAAATTTTTGACTGTTATGTGCAGAAACATAATTAAATAGTATCTTTTCGTAAAAAGCAGTTACATCACTTTCATATCAATAACATGTTTGCCTGAAATGTATTTATCTTTTTCCATATCTTATTGCCCAAGCCTATGGAAGCGATAACATCGTTCCAGATGATGTTATAACATTAGAAAATGTTATAACATCATCTTAAACTATTTACGTAAAATGGCATATTTTTTAACAATTTCTTTCATGTAACATGTTTGTTATGTGAATCGTAAAATCGCAATGATATTTGCTGCATTCGTAATGTTGACTCTCACCTAAAGGCATGAACGGCGTCGTGAAATCCACAACCTGTTCCCGATCGTACGTGATGGTGAGATCACCGATCGCGAGATCGGCCTTTTGCTCGAGCAGCTCCTTCATCATCCCGTCCCATTCCTTCGTCTGCGCGTTGTACGAGCCGTAACGTCCATCCGGCACAAGCCGGAACGTATAATTGAATCCAAGCAGCCGCGATATCTCGTAAATCAAGTCGACGCTGTAGCCTTCGAATTGCGCGTTTCCGGTAAGTTTCTCGCTCGAGTCCTTCCGCATACAATACGGTGCGCTCTGCGATGAGGTAATGAGCTGCTGTCAATACTGTGCTGCATATAGGCGTTTAAAAAAACGCTACGAATTTATCGATACGAGCAATCAACTTATCGACGATAGCTCTCAACGAGGCTGTCAGTGAAGTTATAATATCTGCAGTAATAATCTTACAATTAGCGACATAATCTTGCAATACTCTCGTACCAATGTCGAGATTAGCTTAGAAGATTTAGTATAAAACTGTACGTATTGATTATTAAAAGAAATAGAAAAATATGAAGATTTATAAATAATGTTATTTTACAATTAGTAATCAAATAAGTCTGATTTTTCTAAATTTGCAATTTAAGTATAAATAGTAAAATACTTAATAATGGAAATGAAAAAATTGATATTGTTTTTAACAATAGAAACACATCAATTAATATACGTTTTATATCTTTATAAACCTTGTTTTTTTAATATTTAATATAAATCTCACGGAGCATTCTGTAATGTATGTGTATACTTAAGACATGTTGTATGTTCTTATTAGATAGATTCGTTTAGTTGCGGATCTTGGTGTACTGATCAAAGAAACATCGAAGTTAGGACATCGAAGTTTTTATGAGAATGATTCTCACGCGATGTATCCCTCTTCTTATCATGCCAGGCCTCACCGCGGGAAACTTACTCCCTTTCTCGAGCGAGTTTCAAAGTGCTTAATACATTACCAAGTATTTGTCATCGCAATTAGAGTGAGAATAAGTAATGTGATCGATTGTCACGAAAATTTCAATTAACAATAAGTCACGTGCGTATTAGATTTCCAGTATTTCTTTCTTGTCTTCTTCTTTTCTAGGGAAAAATGAGAGAAGCTAACGAGCTTCGCTAATGGATGGACAATATTTTTCCACTCCGCTGTGACTGCCGGTCATGTTAAATGCGGCGACCTTTCTGTTTTGTTCACGCTTCGATTGAAGCAACGATTTCCGAGTCAGGCGCGCGATTGTCACGAACAATTTTTGCAGACATGTCTTTAAACGAAATAAATGGTTTAGGATTTTTTTTATTCTAAACGACATTTTTCACACAATGCTTTCAAAATTCATACCTCAAGCTAACAAGGAAAGGCACATGAAAGTATCTTCCTTCGATTTTGATGAGCTTTAAATATGTCGTTTTTTGGACAAAAAAATAAAGGTACGTATTTTTTTATACGTGCACTTTTAAGAGATAAAACACACTTAGAACAAATCAGTTATTCTATTTCGATGAATATCATCAAAACTATGAGAGATAGAAAAAAATGTTCAAAATAAAAGTTGAATTGTTTCAAGAGTACTTTAAAATTTAAAAAATTTGTTAAAAAATTTTTTATTTGTAAAAAATAAATTTTAAAAAATTGCTTTTGAATTTTAAATATTAAGTACTCTTAAAACCATTAAACTTTTATTTTTTTCTATCATAGTTCGACAATGCTCACTTCGAAATAGAATAACCGATTTTTTTTTCTAAGAATTATTTTACCCCCAAAAACAGGCATATAAAAATAGAAAACAATATATTTAAAGCTCATTAAAGGGAGACAAATCAAGGTGATTCTTTGTAAGTAATTTTTGTTTTCTAAAGTTTTATCTTATTACATAATTATTTCTAATTATTTACAGTTCCTATAAATTTTTATCTTATTAATACAGTTTTAGATATTAATAAGATAAAAGAAATTTAGTAGATTTAACGTAGAAATAGTACAGTGCTTTAATAAATTAATTTATTTATAATTAATTAATATTTCTTATTCTTCTAAAATGAAAGAAAGAAAGCTACTTATATAATATAATAAAATTTATTTAAAAAATAGAAAAATGCAGTATGTTATATATTATCTTCATCCAAATCAAATAGTCCTATCCAGTTATTTATAAGATTCAAAGAAACAGAACTTAAGCGTTCATATTTGAAGATGAAAGTTTTATTTAATATATTATTCTGATGTTTGAAAGAAAGGAAAGCCATGCGTATTCTTTAGAAACGTCACTCACCAGTATAGTCGTCACGATGAAAGTCTTATTCTGCAAGTTTTCAACGATTTGACTGTAAACATCACCATAGCTTCTCGTAAAGTTGATACCTTTGGTACTATTCCAAGTACCGATTTTCTTCAAGCCTTCTTTGTTATTCAGCTCGATGATGTCTAGAACGAAGTCGGAGCGAAATCCCTGATGATCGAACTTGATAATACCCGTGAGCCCTGTCATCTCCACCTAAAATATATGTTGAAAATATTTAGCAGTTAAAATTGTACATTTTGTTATAAATATAATATTGTATTTTCTTACTAATTTTATTAAGTCATAATTAAATGATATTTGTGTATTTACCGAAAATTGTAAATGTTATACTTAAAATTCAGGGGATGGGCGGAATAAAGGTCTAATTACAAAATTTTGATATTAATAAAAATTAAAATAACTTGCTACTTTTTTTATTATACATAAATGGATACAATATTGAATGAATTTATGTAATGTCTTTAAGAACTTACAAAGTTATAAATCTCCTCTATTACGATTAAATACATGAAAAAGCTAATTGCCGGAAAAAGGGCCTAAGCAGAATTGTGCTTTTATTCCACCCATCTCCTCAATTATACATACAGACGTAAATCATAATATTAAAACATATTGTTACTTTTTACTATATCTTATATGCATACTGAAATACTGAAGTATCTGACATGACGGTTTATGCGCGAATAAATCAACGTACAATCTGTAAGAGTTTTATGCGCTTGTATGTGTCTGATATACATAGACCAGTGACTCTCAAAAATTGTGTCACAAACTTTACTAAGTGTAAATTTCTAATTTCAATCTTAGATATTTTGTTACAAGCAAATTTATTAATAGCTTAATTTTATTTTACAGTTTAACAATTCGATTTGATTTAAAATTTAATGAATATACGTATCTAATTGTCAATATGCTGCGTGATTGTGATCGAAAAATGTTTGAGAACCAAGATGGACATACATACAACCAAACTTGGATACGAGCAGATTCATGGTGCATTTATTACGCATACGAAAATAAAGTATACGTCTACACATTTACCGCTCGTAAATACGAGATGGACGTCTGGCAGCAACATACACCGGATGTTATACTTCGCAATTACATGGAAATACTAAAGATGCATTAATATGTGATTATATCTTATAGAGACAAAAATTCTGTTCGTAAAGCGATTCGCAAGTAATTATATATCTCATGATAACCAAATTTTGCATGTCTTTCTCTGTGCACGAGTCACATTGTACATTCCTAAAACGATGGAATTGCGGACGAAATTCTAGGTGACTGCTTGTAATTACTGTTACATGAATATCGTAAAATTAAATTCTGTTCTGACACGTGAGATTAATATAGATGCTATCATTACTAACGACTTATGATGTGGTCCTTGAAAAAATCATTTTAATTGATTGTTATTGCGTTATTTGACTAATACCGTATATCACATAAATAGATGTCCTATTATATCATCATATGTCTGTCATGAAAACTATCAGTGACAAAGTAATGTAAGATGATGACTGCATTAATCATCATGAAATTAGTAAAAACAGCAAATAAATTCTGACGCGATCATAATATTTAGAACGTTTTGATAGCACATTTAATATTATATTTTTTGGTGTATTGTAATTTTATAATATAACTAGCCAATTGAGAAATTTGTCATTACCGAGAAATTGTTTTCGCACAATACAAGAATTACACTGGTCGACAAAAATTCAATCTGTTTGATTTTGAAGTAAATGAAGTCGTTTTTGATAGTTTTAGCGCTGATTACTTATATTTATATAAGTAGTGGGAAGAATTAGACATTGTTTTTCATATTTTCATAGGCTTAGTACAATCGTAATAAACTTTTTAATATATAGTATAATCTTCAAATGAATCTTTTTTTCTTAAACCCAAGTTCTCTGAGATATTTAGGAGTCCTTGTACTTTCTCTACAACAAGTATACTTCATTTCTTGCACTTTTAGGTTAAAATATAATATCTCAAAAACTTGACATAGTACGACATTTTTGGAACTACATTCGTAATTTGCATCAAAATCTATCAGAAACAGTTTCATTTACTTTAAGGCCAAAATAGTATCGATCAGTGTTATTATATTTGTTAATATTTCGTTGCAGTATATTCTTTATAGTCTTTTTCTTTACCGTCGTACTACGAAATAATTATCGTTGAAAATTTATAGCTTTTAAATATCAGAACAGACATACTAGAAATTATATCTGAAAGCCTTTTAGATAACAAAATTAAATAATCGATTTCTTTTATAAATTTTTTTTTTCACGACTGATCGGAGATATTTTCAACTTTTATAAAAATTATTAATATAACGTTTAATCCGGCACGGACGCGTGTATCACGTAATTGGGTAGTTGCATAACCAGTTCGTCGAAATTACATGTCTGGTTTTATCGACATCAGTTTTTGCTTATCCTGGTCAGGACGTTCGGCCGCGTGAGCGACAGATTTCGTTCGTTCGTGACATATACGCAGTCACGGGTGCACATGAGAGCCGCCTCGGCATAGAACATATCTTGCAGTACTTGTCAATTTCGACATGGCGACGTGTATGACGAGGCACGTTTCCATATCCTGCGTGCAACGCATATTTATATTCACGGTAACTCGTATCTACCGTGTGTTACTGTCAGAGAATGGAAAGTTACTTTTTAAAAATAACTTTAGACTATTATAGTTATTGTTACCGATACTTAAAAAGTAACAATTCGTTACTTTCCCGTTACTTTTTTAATGCTGAAATAAGATTAGTCTAAAAAATTTAGCAATATTTTTTGTTTAAATATTAATAAAAACAATAAACAATAATGACATTAGACCGATATGTGAAACATAACTGAGGTGCGGATGGTCGAACAAAAATTGATTAAATGACATCTAAGTTACGAGTATATGATAAAAACGATACGGAAATATTGAAGAACATATAAAAAATTGTCATATTACGTTTGAAGTATAATTATAAAAAGTAACGATAAAAATAACTGTAAAATTCGTTACCAAAAAAATGTAACCACGTTGCCATCATAATTACCAAAGAAAAAGATTATACCGTTATCTGACCGTTATCAAAATAACTTGTAACGGTAAAGCGTTACTTCCATTTCCTAGTTATTGTGTTTAATATACGTTCGATTTCATTGTTAAGCAGTTGCAACTCGCCATGGCAATATTTGCTGCGAATAAATAGATTATATTAAGGTAAGGTGTAATTTAATATGAACAATTTTTCAGCATATTACACACATATATAGATTCTCTCATATATATTGTTTTATCTATTAAGAAAATATTTGGTAAATTAAATTCCTTTAAAATACAGTTAAAAAATACATTTTGGTGCGAACGAAAGGAGAAGTTTATTATAGTATTTATGTAAAATTACATAAAAAATAGGATATATAGGGAATCTATATAATATTACGATGCACTTGTTTATATATTCGAAGTGGATCTCATTTAGCATAGAAAACCGAATCTTTATTATCTTTGCTTTCGTCTTTTTAAGTAAATTTTTCATAAAATAAATTTTCAAAAATCAGCCACATATTGATTAAAAACTTCGTTGTATTTAGCTTGAATGTTATGCACAAATCTACGTACGGATTGCATAGGCGGTCCTTTGCAGGATGCACCATGGCAACAGCGAACAATTTGTCAGTACGCGTGACAGCTTCGTTTAAACTGGAGTAACTTTCCATTGTTTCATGAAAACAATCGCAGAGATCGCGGAAAGTCAATGCATCCGTGACTTCCTTCACTACGCGTGTCACGTATTTATCAAATTTTTTTCTTTACTTATAAAAAATAATGCAAAGATACACTTTCGTTTTAAAAATTAAAGAACTAGAAAACGCAGGATCTGTATTTGCATGTATCCGTATTAAATAAAATTAGTTTTGGCTTTCACTAGTTTCTAGTATGTACATAGAGAATTTAATATCATAGTCATATCTGACGATATAGACTTGCAATATCAAAAGAATGAATAATTTTTGTGCTACATGATCATAAATATTTTAAAGATAAAGAGATTAATCCATTTTTTGTGTGTATTATACTATTTTTAATATATACATATACCATGCAAGATTAAACATAAAATAAATATAAAAAAGTCTATAAAAATGTTAGAAGAGGATAATGGTATTATTGTATATATGTGATTTGCCTGTGATGATTGAAATATTCTGAAAAGCAAAAGAGAGAAAAATAAAAATTCTGTTTTATGTCTTATGCATTACGGGATAACGAGTGAAAGCCTATCATGTATTATGCGTAATGCACATGGCAAGACTCGTGCTGCTTGTTAATGAACGGTACGTAGATTATGTGAAAGGTAAGCGAGTCAGTTAGTCGGATTAAGCATATCGTTATAATGGCTTATTACGTTGTCGGTGCGATCGATTGGTGGTACGCGAGATTAATTTCTCTCCGGCGTGATATATTCGCGATAACCTGCTTTGCATCGTTGCTTCGTTGAATACGAGCGTGCAGTAATCATGTGGAAAGATGGCTGTCAATATATAAGCATCGCCTTTACTATCGCGAGCGTTTATCGCACATATTTTACGAGATGAAATATTTTACCAGGACTTGAAAGGATCGCGCAGATCCGATTTATCATTGTCCTTAATCTAAATTTATTTGATTGCTTCATTAATTTCATTAAAGTCAATTATAAACGTGACAATTGTATAATCTATATATTCTAATATCTAGTAGTATCTACTAGAGAGTATCTAGTGTGGAATATTTAGTGTCGTGTAGAGCTAAATGTAAAATTAATTGATATTCCATTTAATATGGAGATTATGCATTAAATGCAAAAAATATAAAAATTATTAAACAAAAAGTTGTCATATCATTTACATAAAATTGCTCTTAAAATACAGATTATATTGATGGATTGTTATTATTCAAAATTAAGAGAATCGTGTGCAGACATTGAAACTATGAGAGAAATGATACATAAAGATATAAGAAAAATAAAAAATTTACCTGTTTAATGTATAGTTTACTCATATATATAGAATTGTTATAAACGTGACAATTGTACGATCCATATATTCTAATATCTAGTAGTATCTAATTTATTTATATATATTAGAATAGTTGTATTTATATGTATTAGATTAGCTTGAGAGAAAGTTGAAAACTTTCAACACACAAAATTTTAACATAAAGAGCATACATATGTTCTACATTTGGAAATACACAATATAAATATAGTATATTAGCTGTTTCAATTAACGTTATTTACTTACAATCTTCATGTAATTGATAAGAGAGTATCCGTGAGGCCAAGTATCCGTTGATTCGCAGGATAACGGTTTGATATCGATTTGTTGGGACGTGTCGAGATCGTGTAATGCTTTGGCGAAGAGATGGACAGCGTCGTACAGCAACGACGTTTCAGTCTGCGAATCACATACATAATGAGATGTTATATAACAGATGTAGCGTATACAAAATATTTCACACAAAATGATTGAATGCAAAGTTTTACGCACAAAGAGATTTGCCAAGAGAAAAAGCATTTTTCCATTTAGAAAAAGCTATCTCAACGTCGTGTAATATAATCCGACTCTTTTTTTTTGTAATAAATTTTCTTGTTATTAGTACTCATGATACATGCGGCTGCATCATGTTTTTACGTACAGCACATATTTCCTGTTTTAACAAAAATTTTGGCACTATTTTTCGTGTTCACAAAAAGTGAGAGAAAATATTTTGTTCACACATTTCCCAAACTTTTAAAGTTAGTTATAATAAAATTCGTGTAGGTAAGTTTAGATTTTTCGAATAAAATACTATAAACTAAAGTTTAATTCTGTATGTTCTTTATTACAATGTAAATTATAACATATTTATTAATGTATTTTTATTAATTAAACAAAGCATATTACAAAATAAATTTTGCACATTTATTAATGTATATTTATTCATTAAACAAAATATATAATGATTGTATGCTTATCATATAAGACTTTTAATACATACAAATGTATAAACACAATTGCATGCGATATTATAGATGCTAGAGATTTCGAAGGAAAATCTTGACTCTACAGACTATTTCAAGTGAATTCGCAATTCCACCACACATTCACGATATTGAAATTATCAAAGAGAGAAAGAAGATTAAATCTCGAATTCTCTATTTCATGAAAGGACCCGTATTTGGAGGTAGAGGTCAGACGAGGAATTCCTGTTTTCGCTCCAATGTGTGAAGGGTGAAAGAACGAAATCTCGGCTCCTAGGAGGATTTCACGGCAAATTGGCGCCTCTGTTTCCCTAACATTTATATTTCGTAACTCGTGCGCACGGTATCCCCGCGATACTGTCGCTGTAAAAGCGATATCACCTCAGATATCGCGCCTTGGGTGTATATTCCTCCCGATATATTCGGGACAACCAATATCCTTACCGGATTTTACGATGCCTTTCTCCAGGACCGTATTTACGAAGAAACTAGTCAATGTATCCGATTCACGTGTTTCCCAATACGAAGGGATCGTAGGGTGATATCCTTACATTCGACCCAAAGTTTCGGACAAACAGAAGTCTCTCAGGAAAACGATGCTTTTTTCAATTTTATTCATTATTCATATATCGCTTATCACTCGTGAAAGGTAAAAAATGTAACACATCAAATGATTTACGTAAAAATTTCATGTTGAAAAATATCGATGAATGTTTAGTTCCAGATATCGGTAAAAGTATCCCAATTTTCTTTTGTGTCACTTGGAAAGATGTCATGAAATTATTCAGAAAGGTTTCCAATCGAAATAATCCCATTTTTTGTTAGTTGTCTTATCATGGAAATTCGGACGATCTGGAGACGATTTCTATGGTTTTTCAACATTTCGTGAGCAAGCGAGAAATCGATTCTGATAAGGGCGCGACTACGATCGGAATCGCAAATAACTTCGAGATAGCTTCTCATGCTTCTTTTATAAAAAAAAAAACATGCGGTTAAATTTTATATTATTGTATCTGATTTTAATACTACTTTTATTCTATTAGATAGAATACAGGGAAATGCCTCAGAATTCTTTATAAATAATTTTCTATTTTCATGATATTCTTTTTATTAAGCGTAATTTTTTATACTTAATTTCATATAATAAGAATAAGATTTATATAAAATTAATTAAAGAATTTTTTTTTCTGTGTCTTTTTTCTTTTGAAAAACTTAAATTTCAAAAATTATAACTCATTATTTACAATACATTAAGAAACAAACAATGATATACATAATGTAATAATTTCATATGGAATCATAGAGTCCAGTATTTATACAGGTGAATCAGTTGATGTTTCTGATTAAATGTTCTCGCTTTTCGCAGATAATTCACTCGTAATGAAATGTGAGATGTTGAACCGCGCTCCATTGGCTCTATTAGTAATACTATAGAATTACAAGCATAAAAACGATTCAGATCGTTTTTATGTCGCTGTGAAATGCGTTTGAAGGCGCAGTTATTCATTTAAACATATTTTCCGTTATAAAACTTATGAGAATTGAGAAATATATGTGACTGCACTATATTAAAATAGGTTATATTAAAATCTCAATTCTGCAGTAGATATTTTTTTATTTATCTATTAACAAACGTATTTTTATAACTTACCTTTATAGTAGTTAAATTATTCTGCTCCATGCGTGCAAAAAAGAAAAAAGCACAATTAATTATACATTTTCCAAAATCGAAGTAAGAACAATGTATTTTTTGTTTTTGAACAAAAGAGAGAAATAATATGTAATACACATTGAAAAAATCTCGTTTCATTAATTGAAATTTTGATAAATTTGATCAAAAAGGAATAAATCAAACACTTAACAATTAAATCTATTAAATATTCTAATCAAAATAACCTGAAAATTTAATATAATAAAAATTCATTTTGTTTGTACTTTTTCTTGATACGACCAAAAACATTTTTCTCGGTGTAGAATTTTAAATTCTATAACTGAAAATAATTGATGATTGTGTGAAATATATGGAATATATATATATATATAGAAAAGAGAGAGGGGGGAGGGAGGGGGGAGAAAGGAGGGAGGAGAGAGAGAGAGAGAGAGAGAGAGAGTTCTTTAATCATCCATAGAAAGTCGCAAGCACGGATGTACTTGTTAATTAGTAAGAAACAAAATTGTGCCATGTAATCACCGCGTTGAACTTCTTATACAAGTTTACTGACAAGTGGCGTTGTAAAATAATCTGCAATTTATGCACAATCCGGAATAACGAGCTTATGTTCGCTTGCCGATTCTACCGAGCTATATTTCGTCTGTAATCGAATCAATATATTGTCCGTTTGTTTGCTGCGTGTACGCGATTGAGTTAATTAGCCTGGCTTTGACACGCTCGTAATGGGATTGCCTACATCCCTCCGAGGGACAGACATATCCCCGTTACGGAATTCGCCCAAACGTGATTGTTTGTTATGTGACGACGCCTTTGCGTAATATCGTCATTAAATCTCGAATGGCAGTGTCGATTATATGTTGTGATCGTGTTAACTCTCATAATTGTTTCAATGATGTCTTGGCTCTGTTTAATGCTTTGTTCATATTTTGCATATATGCGCAATGTGACATTGAATCTAATTATTAATTATTAGATACCTAATTGTGGAGTTAGGAGACAATTAAGAATTTCTGTTCTTCTGAAGGCCATTATCGATGTTGTTTATTGAGAAAATTTCTTAATTATAAATTGATATACTTTATATTTCATTTTCTTGACATTAATATATTTTTTAAATATATAGCTGCGCATGTGTTTATAATAGAACGTTTTCAAATTATTGAGGAAAGGAATAGTTCTTTACTGTAAATCTCTCATCATGAATACGACGTCAATTTGAAGACATGGTTAAATTGCACGATCTTACAATCAGAAGGATTCATTCCATAAAGATGAATTCTAATGATAAACGTCCTCTTGCTCAATAACAAAGAACAAAATCAATCCATTTTATCCCTCCCAGCTCATATTTTTTTTAAGTTATTGAATATATGTTTTTAGTCTACAAAAGTGACATTAAACTAGAAATATATAATAAATATATTACTATTAACGGATTAAGGCTTTATATATTTATTATTTTTTTTATTAATAAATGTCGAATATAAAGAACTATAATTTCACTGACAGGTATCTAAATTCCGATTCAAGAAGCTTGCTTGCTTTTCTTCTTTATTATACCCAGACTTTTATATTTCTAATTTTAACGGCGCAAAGTCTGATGGCTGGCGCCTCGTAAAGCTGCGACACTGTACCTGATAAAACTGGCAAATTGAGAAAGTTTTTATTACTAGCGTTTCTGCGTGCCACGAATCGATGGCGCAGTCTTTGGTAACCATTCGTTTTGCGACTTCCAATTGACGATTTTACAAGTTTTATTTTATAAGACTATATAAGAAAGTCAACCGAGTGTTTCTTTGTGCCGGCATTTTGTTCTTCTCTTTTCTTCGAAGCGAGTCTAGAAAACGCGTTATCTGTCGTCACGATGATATATCTTCCGTGAACTATTGGTGTCTCTGTATGTTACAGGCAAGCCACCGAATTCCGTTCGCCCGTACCATGTGATAAAAAACGAAGTACGCGAAAGTATGTTTCCGATAAAAAAGATAGTCGTTTGTAATTATTTTTTGTTGTCAATAAATCAACAAAAGAGCAAGCTTAATAAAAAAATGTTTCGCAAAAAAAACCGAATAATTGCATTTTTTCTGTTTAGTTTAATTTATACATTAGTATGCCTTGTATTATTACTAGAAGTCTTGGATTAACTATTCAGATTATTCTTCAGTATTCTAGAAACATAATTTTTTTCTACATTAATGAATTACTTAGTTTCTCAAAATTAACTTACGAAACCACAAAGAATTGAGCAATGTAAAGATCGAAGATATAAGAAAAAGAAAGAAAAAATTGTTTTGAATATGATGAAAAATAAGAGAATAATAATCTTGTTTCTTATTCTTGTTATTATCAAAGCTTTTATATTATCAAAGTATAATTATATTAACGAATTAACACAAAAAAAAATAAAAAAAAAAATTTTAATCAATAGCATATCTTTTATATATTAATATATATACCATATGCATGATAAGCGGAATTACTTTATTATATATTTTCTCTATATTATGAACAGGTCACGGATCAAACGCGTATTTTTCTAAAAGAAAATTTATATTAAAATTACAGAGAAAAGAAGGTAGAAGACGACCAACGATTAGAGAGTTTTTTTTAGATTACTTGAAGCTATTTACTGTGCTGTTAAATTTATAACGTCAAATTTAACGTAAGAAAATGTATTAAATTTGATTTAAATTTATTATTATTTATTAAGTGTACACGTTAATATAAATGTTGTTTATTTTAAAATTAAAAAAATGGATTGATTTACATTTTGATACACGTGGAAGTTAAAAATAACAAAATTATTTTTAATTCAAGGAATTGGATTATCATTGTTCCTTTGAGAGCATACAACAATTAGAATTATTTTACAATTTTATTGCATTTACGTTATGCTTCGTAAAATCTTTTTTTAAATGCCAATCATTTTTATTCAATTATTTAATTTTAATAGAAATTCATGGAAATAAACAAATGTTCAAATTTTGCAAGTTTGATTAACTCAATAGGATTTTATTATCTCTATTGCACTGTATTTTTTTTTAAATTTCTAGAATTATAATTGCAAAGATTAAATATATCTTATTATAATTACATTTCTATAAAAAATTTGATTTTTTGTTTTAAAAAATACGATTATCTTATATAAAGAAAATAAAATGGATTTAACATATATTAAATATTAACACAATCAAAAATTAATAATTTGCTTGGTATACATTAACTATATAATATAATATATAATTTTATGTAATAATATCTCTTAAAATCGTAATGTGAAAAAATAAATGCACAGAAATAGGTTAAAGAAGTATACATCCCTATTTTTATCACGTTATGGCAACAGAGTAAATATTAGTGCGCTCGAATCACATCTCGACTTTCACGCGAAAAAGGGAGGCGACACGAGAAAACATCTTTCACGGAATAATGTAGCAACACACGCTGCTGCAACGAACGATGCAGCAGATCCGTCACATACTTGTACGAGGTGTTGCAGCTACGTATACCGCAGAACATCGACAAAAAGTTGTTGGGAAGTTTACGCGAACGTGCAACCGTGTCCGGGCAAATTGGCCTTTTTAAGGGCCCAGTGTGCGCCGGACCCAGCAGATGTTGCTTCCGTCGAAATAGCCGAATGTACAGATTCGCGCTTCTCAACTTTCCTGCAGTTGATGCCGTGCCAGATGCGACGATATAATTCGCTTTTCGCGAATTGGCATTTCGTTACTTGCTTCTTTTATGGGGTATGGCAGTAACACACTATATACAATTCAAGAATTCACTTTTAATGTGAGATTCTAGAAAGAGGAGATTCTTTAAGTTAAATTTTATGATTTAAAAAATTGAATGTAAAAATTTAAGATTTTTAATACATATCTATTAATTTAAATTATATGAATTTTTGGAAGTTTCTAATCTTAATATTTTTAAAATTATAAACCGTTATGTGTGTATGCACATCTTTAAAATTATAAACCGTTACATATATTCCGTTTTAAAATAATGATAGGCATAATTTTTATTTATTCGGAACAAACTGACAAAATTTTTAATAAATAACAAAATAGCTTTATTAGTCTAAGCTCGATCATAATAGTTAAATAGTATTTCGATATGAAATATACATTTATATACATTTTTATAGATTAAAATATTTAATCTACGTAGGTAAATATTTATATTGCCTGTATTAGAATAAAAAAGCTATATTAAATATTAGCAAAATGACGGCGCTAAATATCAGTTCTAATTTTTTAAAAGGTTTTGCTTCTTTTCTCAGTAAAAAAAATATAAATTGTTAAAATATGAGGCCTGTTCTTTATCGAAACATTCTCTGAACTGGTGCACATGGTGCAATAAGGTGAGGTTTGAAACAAATGTAATTTTTTTCACTTCAATGCATTGTACCATATGCACTAGTTCAGAGAATTCATTGATAAAGAACAGACCTATACTGACTTGATTCCAGTACGGATGATAGCGATATATTCATGTACATGTAAGACTAACTTTATTTCGAATGAATTTTATTTTGAATGAATAAAAATCTTCCAATCATGTTTATCGTAATTTTATAAGTTAAGATCCGCACATAATGATTTATAATTTTAAAAATATTAAACTCAGAGAATTTAGTATTTTTTATTTAATATTAAACTCATAGAGTTTTTCAGAAATTCATACACTTAAAAATAAATATGTACTCAAAATCTTCAATTTCTATATTTAATAGCTTTCCTTTAGCAAAATCATAAAATTTAACCTTGAAAATCGCTTTCTGGACCAAAAATCCTCCTTAAAATCTTTAAATTTTGATTTTACTTTATTCAACTTGTGAAACCAGATTATACTCATGGTATTATAAGAAAAATATAATTTGACACAATCCATATTTGTTAACCATTATTTATTACTAAAAAAAATGTGAAGCAAAAACATACGCTCTTCAAGCTTAAGATATAAGATGTAAGAATATAAAGATGTAAGACCGTAAATTTAATAAAAGAAATAATTATCAATTATAATTAGTAGTGCTTTTCTTAATAATTTGTGCATATATTTATAAAATAATATTATTCCAGAAAAAATTATGTTTCACAGTTATATTACACATTATATTTATAAATTCTTTCTTTGTTTACACACAAACGTGAAAAACGCTATGTAAAATGATTACTTTAATAAATATATTAGCATGTTAAGGGGCGTGACAGGTTGTAGATATAAATAGAACAATGGTGAGAATAAGGGTGCTGACTCAAGTAACCTTGACAGATGAACGAAAAGAAGCAAAGGCTGCTATTTCACGAGACATCGTGATTAGTCATTCCCAAATAGTTATATGTAATTAATTGAGAAACATTGAGCAATCAACAAATTAGGCAAAACACAAGCAATCAATCTTTGAATCGATTTGTCTTTAAATCTATCATTACGTGTCATCAATACTAAATGCACATTGTACAAAAAATAAGTTTTATACAAACATCATTTAGTAAATTTAGATGATTAACATTGTAATGAGAGAGACAATAATGATGAATGATTATAAATCTTTTAACATAAGCATTAAGAAAAAAATAAATATTTATAAACTGTCTTCCTAATATTATTTACATTGTGCATAAATTTAACATGTCCTATGAACTCCGAACGAATTATTATATTTCATACGGATTCTGACATGTAATTCCTCGTCTACAATCATGTTTTTACTCCCTCCAGTCTACATTTTTTTTTACTGTTCTAAGCTTTCAAAGTCCTTCTCTTTTTATTTCGAAGAAATTTGAGAGTAAAACTTGTGTCAAAAAAGGTTATAGATGGAGAGTTAATACTCAATCTTATACTATAACGCCATACGGGATGTCGGCATATCGATTTAATCGATACATCTAATAAAATGCCGACTTAATGGAAATACTTGCAAACTTGCATGTACTTTCATGTACACCGTCTATATACGTACATACCGATTAATTTGTCGCCATTTCATTACGCCGCTGTGTACAGAATGTGTTCAGCACAGAAGTAGGTAAACTGCACATGTAATTTCCTGCGTTACGAGTCACGCGACGTTCTCGCCTTCGTATGGATTGTATTTAAAATCGGCTTATGGAAGTAAAGGAAGTAGTACGCGAATCACACACTTGCAACGAAACGAAACTAACATGGAAATCATGTTTGTGCGCGGACTACGTTCTATCTGACCTGACCTCTTTAAATTCGAGACGTGCATAAAAACGGAGATGCGCTTACCCTCACGGTTTGCGGGAACTGAAAGAGCGGTGATATGATATAAAATTGAAAAGCAACCTACTTCTTGTAGTTACTATGTGTGTATTAACATTATGTTATGGATGTGCATTTGCGTAATATAATATTATGAGTACGGATGTAGTGTGTAATAATATAACGTTCTAGCTTGGTGGTTCTTGTTAATATGTATAATAACACGGGAACGCAGTGTACTTACTTTTTGTTTGTTTAGCAACATTATCATTTTACAAACTTTAAATTCGTTAATTTATTTCAAGTAATCAGTCTTAAAAAGTGCTTGTCTTTATTATTTACATATAATATATATATAGAATTAGTATTTAAACTTGTAGTAGTATTTAAAATTGTCTCAAAATTTGATATTGATGTTATTTTTTTGGGTTATAATAATAGGTACTTCTATTATTATAGGTAAAATCTTTTATGTAAAATATGTAAAAAATATACATATATGATTCTTGAAACAAAAAATAATGTAATAGTGAGCACATATGTGCTGAATGTACATATTTTATAAATTATAGATATAAAATAATGTATTAAACAATAAATATTTTTATCCTTATTGAAAAACAAATCTCAGTTTGAAAGTAACAAAAACTTTAAGTAGATACTTGGAGCTTCTGTTACTTTCAAATAGAAAACTTTCGAAAGATTTAAAAAATTTTACTGCTCTCAGGTTTGAATATCTTTTCTTCAAAACACGAAGTATATGTAGATATATAGAGAATAATTGGCTACATTTACACAGTACCTTTAATTGGCCAATCATAGCTAATCTTCTGAAGACTGGAATGATTGTATTTGATTAGTTTCTTAATTACGCGTATGTTATTAAATCCGATTAAGGATGCTGAGTAAATGTAGTAATTATATTCATATAAGGGCCTGTATTCTTAATAGTTACATAATTTTATGTAAATATAGCAGATATGGTAGAGGTACATTTTCTGTAAATTTCTTGATTAGTAATTAATTTATTGGTAGCGAAAATTTGACTGGATTTAATTTGTAGCATTTTGTAAAAAAATGTGCAATATATATGTAATATTTCGATAAAACCTAATTTAAAATCTAATCCGTTTAAAATTAAATGTGATTATCTATTGAGAAAGTTCATATTGTCTTGCTAATACTGTGCTATTTTTAATTCTTAATAATCAGAACACTGTGGTTAGTTTGATATTTATACATATTGTGATTCTTAAGTTCAAAAATTACGTTAAATAAAGAACATGTCAGAAAAGTATTTTGAATACTTTGTATTTAACTTTGTATTTCTTTACAATCAATACATTCTGTTCTCATTTTCTAGAATATTGAATCTTGAACCTTTCAACTGTAATCTCAGTTTCATTTAAATTACAATATTTTTTAGTCACGCTATTTCAAAAATTTGAACCGTTGTGTGACCGACCAACTAAAGATAATTACAAAAGAGGATGCAAAGATTAAAAACGAGAGCAGAACGTGTATGATTGTAAAGGGTCCTAATTTGAATAAAAAATATTTAAAATATTTTTTATATGCTATTTTTTTTAAATAATTTTTATTTCACAATTTATATACCGCATTGTGTACATTATCTTTTTTAATTCATTCTTTGGAAATAATACGGATAAAAATTTAGAGATAAATCAATACTGTTTAATATCTGTTTAATCACAAAGTTTTCGAATGTTTCGGGTCACATATAATATTAATGGCTAGCGAGTTTGCCAAATGGAAAAGCGGAATCAAGAATTATGAAACCAATCATTCGATTTTTTGTTGATATCATTCATATTTGCATTCTTATGAGAATCGGCATGTGTCACTTGGGGAATTCAATTTCCCCAAGGTAGTCAAGTTTCAAATAGGGTAATACTCAATTATTACATTCGCTCCGTTATTCTCGGTCATGTCAAAGAGCGTGAACCGGCTCTCGCTAAGTCTCGCGAGCGAAAGAACCAAGAAGAAGTAGATCGATGCGGCTGTCAAGCGGGCTTGCACGAAGAATGCGAAATTAGAGTGTTATTACGTGAGACGCGCGGCCGCTTTAAGGACGGGAACATATTTCGTCGTGAAACGATCTTTGCATTTGCATACATAACATCCTACGCTTACACTTTGCGACGTCATATATCTTGCACCGTGTATTATTTATATTTATACTTGAGACTAACTTGGAGAGCAAAATATCGGCATCGGTAAAATAAACTACTTCGATATTACGCTATAATACAGCAGCGGCAATCCATTTCCGGTTACTATCGTTAACTTTCTGTGAGTTCTGCATCTTACCTTGTTACTGTTCTGTCCCATGTCGAGCTCACGATTATAGCGTTTCTCACCGTAGATCCAGTCCTGAATTACCTTTTGAATTTCCGGCTTCTCTGGATCCACTAATCGAAAGGCAGTGATATTGGTCCCGCCATGCTTGAATTCTTCTAAGTCGACGGTATGCAAGTCCTGAAAAGAATTCCGATTGATCGTGACATGAATTCCTATTAGTCACACGTTTCTGTACTAGATTATAAAATTTCATATCAGCTACATTCTAGATACTGTGGAAAATAGTCTTTTTTCGTCACTTGATATATTTTTTTAAGTAGGTATTATAATTTCATATAATTTTTAGTAATTATCTTAGATATAAATTAAGTAAGAAGCGTCAACACTATATCTTACGAACTTCCAGATTTAAAATAACAACACTGGCTGAGATAATATTTTTCTCAATAAGTTCTTTTCAGTGATTTAAGATACTTATTTTAGCATCGTTACTAAATTATTAAATTGATCTATTTAATTTATGACTATTTCCAACTTTAATTTAGAACTGCGTTTTCAAGACCGGCTATGTTCGACGCGCAGTTTAAAATGCTGGAAAATGTATTTAAATATTCATAAAAAATATTATTATACTAAAATCTAGCCTTGACCGCATTTAGCATATCTTTATTCAATTTGATTTATACAAGCAATCTAGATTAACTTATTATTATTTATCTTATGTTTAGTTTTTACCAATAGCTTGATATTATTCGATCCTACGAATATTATCTTATCTTACATCTAAATAAATATTAATACTAGAAAAATGCCTACTACGGTCAAAGCTGGATTTTCATTGCTTTAAATAATTCAATCTTGAATTACTAATATACACTATATATATATATATATATATATATATATATATATACTTGCATATATACCATATTGTAGTCTTACAGTCCGGAAAAACAATTCAGCGCAGTTCTAAAAGACTACAATATGGTATATGCAAGTACATATATAGTATATATTAGTAATTCAAGATTGAATTATTTAAAGCAATGAAGATCCAGCTTTGATCATAATAAGCATTTTTCTACTATTGATTGTGTTTTTCACATATGCGGTCTAAAATAAAAGATTTTTAATATTGTAAATAAATATTATTTTATAGAAAATACAAATATGACGGTAATAATTTAACAATTTTACGAATTTAAATTTCTCTCTTCCTCAAAATCGAGTATGCAAATAGTAAACTCAAGATATTCTCTGGAAGAAACTACGATGTCTTAAATCGAACTGGAAGATGGAAATTCTGTTTTATGGTTTACTGTGAATTAATCACGTAAGATAAATCTCAATCGGATTCACATAGTAAAGCCGGATGTGACGTTAGATTTTCTGGAGAATCTCCTCTTACGACAAAACATTTCACGACTTGACTTCGCAATCAGATTATATAAGGTCCCTCAGATCACTCTGACAGATGTCGTATCTAGTAAAACTGGACGATTTTTGTTTGCACTAGAGATTGATATTTTATTAATTGTTTAGTTTGTCAGTTTTTATCGTGAAAATCTCACGTCCGACTTGTTAAAAGAAAAAAAAAGCATCCATGATGTTCTTCATTCTCTGTCACCCCTTGCTCTCCGCGACTATTTCCAGCAATCAAAGAATTAAAAGGTCGACGTTTTATATTGGATGAGGAAGTCATAAAAGCAGCGCAAGCGATTTGCGAACACTTTTTAGTTAATGGATTTTATATTGACAAGCGTAAAAGGAGTGAGATGAGACAATAAATGATTCCAATGCAGAAAGCGTATTTTGAAAAAGATTATATTATATGAAATATATATTTTTTGAAAGATTAAAGAGTGAATTGTTTAGCTTAAAACTTTATTCTCTGTTTTATATTATATTTTAATACGCCCTTGTAATTTCACTTTATTAAAATTTCACGATCAAATATATCCGCTTTTGTTTATGTGATAAGTTAAATTGTATCGAAAAATTGTATTTATATTATTAAAATAAATACATGTAATAGCACATATAGTATAAATGTATTAGTATAAATATTTAATTCTAGATTTTTATTCGAAGTTTAGTTAGCAAAATATTGAACGTTTAACTAAATTATGATTAATTATATTTTTGTTAATTTTTTTTATTAAAAAAGAGAATTATTTTTTAAATTATTAAGTACGCGGTAAAAAAAAAATTAAAAGAGATTATATTTCTTTTAAACAACACGTATAATTTTCGATATATGATTTACAAATTAAACCTATTATGTAAGTAAAAGAAAGTAGAAATACATTGCATATGTTCTTTTCTGACTAGATAATTACATTAAAAATATATTTAAAAAAAATTAAAACAAAACTTTCAGTAAGAGCAATTTCAATATAGCAATTGTAACACTCAACGAACTGTAACCAATTGATCATTTATCGTTTGCATTTCTCTTTTTTTGGAATTATTCTGAAATATAATATAAGATATGAAATGCATCGCTATTTATACTTGCCACGATTTGCACCTGAACAGGAAGGACGTTTGAATTTGTATTCTTTGCGATAGTATATTCAGAAGCTATTGACAGGAGTGGAGATAACTCAAGCATGGAGCATTTGCTTCAAAGCCGGTATCTGTATCGGTGACGCTTGTGGGCCGACGTGATTTAAAGTCACGTGCAGCTCGAAGGCGTATTCCGCCCATCTTTTCAAATACTCGCGCAGGATCGCGTCACGGCCATTTATTATCCTTTGTCCCGCATCCGGAGCATGATGGATAAGTCTATGTTCCCCGATCTGCTGTCTTCGCCAAGTAGATGGACACAGTTGACGACATCGTATGTTCTCGATGTCTTACGAATCGATTGACCGCTGCTCAATGATCGATCATCGTCTCGCCTCGAGCTACATCCGGTTTGCACTTTTTCAAGATACGTCGCAACACAACAGCGATATATCGTTTGCCACATAGAATAACGTGCAATAACGGCGATCGATGGGAATGCATTCCCTTGCCCTTAATTCCGTTCTATCCTTTATTACCCCTTTGATAATCGTTGCACAACACATTGCGAAATCTCTAGACAGCATGAAGATGAAGACCATGAAGAGAATCATTTGAAAGCGCAAGTTCGAAGATTATGAAAATTATTACATTCAAAATTTGCACTTATGTTTAGTGAAGTGAAATAACAATATATTATGTAGAATTGATTTTTTCCCAATAAAAAAATGATGATATAATATTTTAATTATAATATATATATAATATAATATTGAGATATATCAAGTGAAAAAAGTAGATAAGTAGTAAAATAAATAGTAAAATAAAATCTTGTAAATAGTAAATAGTGTGTATGAGTAAAGTCTTTGTTAAAAAAATTGTGCTACCGATTTTAAAAGATTTTGAATATTATTTAAATATACATTAATTATATTGATATAATATATATGACTTGTAAAAGCAATAATAGATAAACAAGAAAATGATATATGGATATATGTCATTATAATTATAATACATATTCAATAAATATACATATAAATATCTATAATTAATACCTTTGAGTAAATAGATAATGTAGAAAATTGATAATCTTAACTCTCAGTACACACAACTCTGGCAGTCCGTATCTACCCACATTCGAGTATTTATAACTCAGCGTTTTCTTTTGCTTGTATCTCAGATTGTGTGGTTCATCGATTTTAACAAATTTTTTTTTAATCTATCGTTTGAAGACTGAAAAAAAGGAATTTTTGAGTTAGAATGTCTAAAATGTAACACAAAAGATATTTTGCAATAAATGAACAGGAATCGGAAGAAAACGTGAACTATGAAAATCGAGTGGGATTACGCTTACCTCATTATGTGTACTGAGAGTTAATGCTTATTAAATTTATTAAATTCTTTTACTTACTGTTTAATAAATTAAAAATTTCTGCTCATACTATTATTAGAAAATCATGATGTTATTCCATTTATTCATCAATTCAAATTACTTCACTCGACGTGTATTTAATAAACAATATAATATTGTACGTATACACCGATTATTGTCATCGCAGGAATAACTGGTAAAACAAGGGAGCAACGGCGGTGAAAGCTCGAAAGTGCTGTGAGGATACGATGGCAAGTGCTGTTATTGGATCCACTCATGCAACCTTTTTCAGTGTGGCAATTCTGTGTCCTCTCTTTCATATGCAACATTTTATATTTAACACGAGTTTCAAATGCGCATAATCTTTTACGTTACGCGTGTCGAGAATTTTGTGATAATTGTGCTTTTCAATGTGTTTAAGGCTTAATCAAGGGAATACAGAATAGGAACAAGGAATAATAGATTTCAACCTATTGGAAACCACGTATTCCGGTGTAACCGGTTTTTAGTAGGTTGAAATCTATTATTCTCTGTTCCTATTCTTTCTATCTTTTATTGTGGACAGGTCTCAAAACGTAAGCAGTAAACAAATTGGTTAATCACAGACATCACAGTAGAGACCAGTCGTAACGTAATGTTGTCCAATTTGAAACAATTTTCCAGACTTTAGTAATTAATTCTATACCAGTTCTGTATCAATTTTGTTAAAAATAAATGTGTTAAATGTAAAGCAAGTGGTACATTTTGTGCGCCATTCTGTATTTCACAAACACACTAGTATATCTTCATCTTTGCCTAATTTCGCCTCCTGACGCCACATCTAATAAAATTTCCACAAAGAACCAAATTTGTTCATACAGTTAAAAAACTGATACTCCACAAATACGAGTATATGGTTTTAATGAAGAAATTAAATGATATAATATTTTGTGCCACTATATAATTATATAGTTATCGTAACTCGATCTGATGATAGGACATGAAGGATGAATATCTATCGAATACTTTTCGTTTGTGCAATGGAAAATAAATTACTGCAGCTTTTTCTCCGTTCTTTACACGTAAAGATATATGTAAATATACTGCGTATAATATCAAGAATTTTTGTTCATCAGCAAAACTAACATACGGGCGAGTAACAAAGAGAATGGCTTTTTTTCTCAGTGCGTTATCATGATGCCCGGTATATGATAGATTTGGCAAGAATCGTTTTTTACACAACACTGCGTTCACGCGTGATTGTTACGGAGTCTATCACGAAATGTCGTTGGCTCGTAACTTGTTGTTTGAAACGGGCAGCAAATCTGTATGTGGGTGCAGAGAGTATCATCGAAACCGTTTGACAGATGTTCAGTTTATACACGGATGTGTGTACTATAGTTCCGTACACCCATGTGATGGCTTGGTCAAACAGAAAAGTTTGCGGCAGTTTGTTAAATATTTAATTAATATATTTGCACGATCACGGTGACAATTATGTACCAAAAAGAATTTTGTTAGTTTTGTTAGCTACTTTGTTAGTGTTGTTAGCTATTTTACTTTTCAGGAATGACTAAACGTAATGCAAAAATATTTCCCGTAATACAAAAATATTTCCCGTCATTAAATTTGCTCACGTTATGCAAAAGAAGATATTAGATATTGATATATAGTATAGCTTTAGTTTTAGAAAAAACATTAAATAATAAGAAATATCCATAAGGCTATAATTAAGTCTCTATTCTATTCATATTAAAATCTTTTGAGATAGTTCGGATTTTATATTTAAACATTTTTTTATTTAATAATATTGGATTATATTTTCATACTCAATAGTTATAATCACTTTACTAATTTCTTTAATTAATTATAACTGTATTTATATGTTCTAAATATAATTGTAGAATCTATATGTTTCTTTTAAAGTAAACTTGAGTTCTTTAAAAGGTTATTCAAGATTTCGCAGTTTTTTTTAATTAACTTCTTTAAACGACTTTCGAGATTTCAGTTTCCTGATTAAAGACTGTGAAAGCCGTTTTATTTGAACGGAATTTTGCTTGAGAAGTATTCTATTTCAGGGCGGGAATAGGATATCCCTGCCCGAGCTCAAGAGCTCCAAAGTGTAACGCGAAAATCCAAGAGCGTATCATCCTAAGCGATGAATATCCATAATAAGCACCTTAATGGCCAAGGCTATAACGACTATAACAATCATCGTAACCGTAACAGGTATAATAACCGTAATGATCGCGCGGGGACGATACGTCGATGTCACGTAAATACCAAGGAGCAGAATGCTAAAGTAAAATTCGCGTGGTGTCAGCTTCATCGTGAGACTGTGAAAGAACGAACTTCCACAATTTCATCATGAAATCACTGTTTTATGAGGCGAACTTAATTCAATGAAAGGTAATTCGTCGAAAGCCAAGCAGAGTAACCGAGCAAGATTCATTAATGCTTTCACCCAGGCCGTCGAGGAAAAGGCGCTCTGCCACAGTGTGTACCTATATCCGACGTACACCATGTGTAACACAGCCATGCGGACTTCCCGATCGTGCTGCGGAAAGGTCAGGTTGATGGATGATGCCCAATTTTTCCCTCCAAGAGCCTTGACGACTGACCGACGTAAGTGAAAATAAATAGTCTCCGACGCGGGACATATCGTCTCGAGAATAGAGCGAGGCACCGTTAAATTCCCCTATGCGATAGAGATCGGTCGAAACATTAAGCAATTATTAAGCAGCTATTCTTTTCAACTTGCCAAGTTTTCCCATGTCGAGAAATCTGGTCTACCTATCTAATAATAATTTATCACCCGCTTTTCCACTGTATGAGATAATATTTCAAGTTAACTTGGTAATATTTTTTTCAAGAGTTCCGTTCCATTTATTTTTGTGATTTTTTTTTCTGCGTAATAATTAATATTAGGAGTAAACATCTTACGCAGTTTATAAATTAATAGTTTGAGCTGATAGCTAAGTTAAACGACGTGAATTTTACAGAGAAACCATTAAAAGCGATTATATATTATTAATGAAATTTATCATACATAGCTAACTTCATTAATCTTCTTCAAGTTGTTAATAAATATTAAACGAATGCTATATTAATTTTTATCAGTTCATTTAAGATAAAAATGATTTTGTAATAAGCATTAAGTTGCGTTAATTATTATAATAAAAAAAATAGATTTTATAATATATTAATCAAATAAAATGATTGTGTGAAAAAGTGATTTTATGATGAATTTAGAATTCAGTGTCTGAATGTGACGCTAAACGTTCTGTTGTTTCAGATATTGGCGATCGATGTACAATATGTACATTCGTCGTCAATATTAATCCATGTTTTTCTCGTAAAACAAACAGACCATCGTCAGTAGAATCAACGGAAAGAAGCCCGAAGAAAAAGCGTAGCTCGATTCTTCCGCGCTCGAACAAATACCCTTGCTGATTTACATTTTAATGGATCTAAATTGAAATCTAGTAGGAGAGGGGAAAAAAGTACCGAGATAAATTGCGCCGCTAGTGGTTATATAGCGTGTCCGTTTAAAGCTCTATTTATTTTTTATCACTTATTGCAGTCATGGGTGTCGCGTCAGCGCGACAACGCGCTTCTCACAGTGCGTCTCGACTGACGTAGTGCCACCCTTTCCGCTTCCATTCGCGCCGTCGAGGCGGCTGTAAATTACTAATTATTCTGAGACGGCTTCCAATTTTAACTGCAGCAGGCCGACGTGTCCGCTTTTTACTCGTTCGAGAGTCACACTGCGCTCGCGTAACGTTTTCATTCTGTTCGCAATAAGCCTGCAGACGAAGCAAATTTTGAAAACGAATTTCACTTCTCGTACTGCAATTAAAAGTGACATTCTACACTTGTGTATCTTGTGATAAACCCTTCATACCTTTCACTCACCATTAAATCGATTATTCATGAAAATGATTTCTTTCTCTTGGAACTATAATTTAACATCGAACATGACATAATTTATTGATTCTTATCTGCATTATCGATTCTAGAGAATTCATGTCCTTTTCAATTTAATATTTAACGTCATTCTAAAAAGTTCTCTTTAACTTGCCGATATATCCTGTCTTAATAATTTTTAATAAATTTCAATTTTAACATTTGATAAATTTACTATTAATGTATTATTTAAGAAAATTAGAATATATTTTTTAAACTTTACCCACAGTAACTATTCATAATATTGATAAAATTTATCATATCGCTTCATATAGCGTGGCAGTATGAAATAAATTATTATATTCAGGATAATAATGAGATAAATTTATCACAAAATAATATCGCGAACACTATTCAACGTTACGTTGAACTATTTTACATTTAGCTGTAATCACGGAGGATTACCGAATGGCAATTCTGACCAACCATTCGCACAGATTTCTCTTTTTAGTGGTAATTTACGAGAGGTTCGAATATGTTCCAGCAGTAAAGTTATCGATCTAGAATCTTCGTGGGAACGCCAACTCCTTCGGCGTAGTTTCCTCGACAGAGACTGAAGACAGCCAGAGCCGCAGGTGGCTGAGACGATGAAGATCGCGAGAATTAGTCTTACAAGCAACGCGCCTGATGCAATTTCGCGACTCTTACGTCTACTCTGGATTACTTCGTGGCTTATGATAGACGGAAAGTCGATTGTTAATCGCATTTAATCTTGGGTACCTACCAGTGATGTGATAAGGTAGCTGTGGTAGTCGCTCATCATTCCAATCTGTTGCGCTTGTTTCAGCACATCGTAGATCCTCTCGGTGGAACAATCCAATACGATATGCGACTCCGCGGAATTTTTTATTTGTTTTAACAGCGGCCTGAAATAAAACAATGTTCTGTGTAAAATATATTCTTAAATTTTAAATATTATACTATATATAAAGAGAATACCGAACGTTGACAAAAGCGACGAATAAAAAATTTTAAACTATTAGGTTAAGTAAAAAGTCATCGCGTTCTTTTAAAAGACATCTATCAGTAAAAACCGCAATTACTTTCTTACCAACAATATAAATATATCTTAATAGAGTAAAGTTTCAGCTTTAAAAATCTCTTTTTTAAATTATACGATACGACAATTTTTAATGGAGTTATGAGCAATTAAAGTCAAAATAATTCTTTTATTTAATCCGCGATAACTCAGTAATCAAAAGTCGTAGGAATATTAAAAAAAAACGATTTTGTAGGGAAAGTATCAAGCTTTCACGATAGGTAATCGAAAATTTTCTCAAATTCGTTTTGGACACGTTACAAATCCACAAAGTGAGAAGAAAATTTTTCGTCTTTTTCAGCTCGTAGTTTTTGGTATGTAAAAATTATCAAACTCATATAAACTTAAAAAATGTGATAAGTTTTTAAAAGTAGAGATTTCAAGCTTTAAAACCCTTTTTTAAAATTTGAATTTCATTCATTATTGACGAAGATATTGTATATACAACTTTGAGCTAAAAAATACGCGATGACTTTTTACTCAACCTAATATGTATATCAAAAAGTTTGTTTCATGCAGGAACATCTCATTCTTTATTTAAAATTCTTTTCAGTTTAAAAAATTGTAGATATCTAAAACGTGCTGAAATGAAAATGAATTTTTCAATATTTTCCAATAATATAATTTGAAAATGTTTGGAGGATATTGCAAATAAGTATATTCTTATTCTTAATACATTCTGAAAATATTTTAGTGTACTATTAGCAAGAGCACATTCTCGGTATATTCCTAGCATATTCTAATAGTACTTGCAGTAAATTTTCAGTACATCCTCAGCATACTTTCAACATAATATCATAATGAAAGGCTCAAAACTGAACTCCATCGGTTTCAATAAAATCTGATAGAATTATAAAGTCTGTTTCCTGTGACTAAACTAGTGTACACTTTTAGAACTTAAAGTGAAATATACGATAGATATACGTCTGATATTTGTCGAAAGCGAAGAAGAGAGTTCTAGAGCAGTCTAGTGCAGGAACAGAAAACAGACCAAGTGAGTGCTCTCAAATATAATGATACCCCTATTTGGATGTAAACAATCGTTTGCGAAATATTTTCAAAGTAATATTAAGATGCCGTTAGTAGAGTTTATTAGACGTTTACTCGAATATTTATGATATAGTGGATACTGTTTTTATTAAAACTTTTAGTCTTAAATTTGTAAAAGTTCCTTTGTTAAATGGGAACTAATCAGGAGAATTGTTCTAGGAGAGTAAAAAATTTAATTTGTAATAAAAATCTATAATAAAATTAATTTATTATTATATTAAAGAAATATGTGTCACATCTCAAAGCATTATCAAAAATATAAAAATTTTATAGGTTTTTTTATTATTATATCTGAATATCTACAAAATTTAAGCACAGTTCTTTTATAGGTTTAAAAATTATTTAACTTTTTGTTTGCATTGATTTTTATGTAAAATCGTATTTTTATAGTTTTTAGTATAGTACTTATTTGCAAATTTGATGAAGAAGTAGCATTACAAATTAAATCAAATTTTTTTAAATATTAATAAAACTTCAATAAATATTTGTGCAAAAATTTATTTAGATTCATTTATTTGTTTAAAAATCATTTATCTAAAACTGCCGTAAAATATAGATAAAAATCAATGAGCTGTATAGGCCATTATAAATTGAATTATTGTTTTTTTTTTGGAGTTGGTTTTAGGGCGTATTTACTAAAAATTTTTGTCTGATATTGGCTAATAATTGTTTAAAAAGCATTTTTCACTTATTTTGGATACACTCTTTAGGTCACTCTATACACACTCTATATGTATATATATTCTAATAATATAGACTTTTTTGACTGATACTTTTAGTTGATTATACAGTTCAAACATTTTTAACAATTATTTTTCTATCATAAAATATTATTATACAATAAAAAAAAGTTAATTGATGATAGAACTTGAAATCAAATCAAATTAAAAACTAGTTACCATATTTGTTAGCCACAGATGTTCAAATATATATGTCTTAATACAGTTGGAACAAATAGCAAAAAGATTAAAGAGTTCAATAGAAATTTTTAATTAAAATTTCCTAATGTAATCTGTCGATTTAGTTTAGATGTCGATGTAATTAGTAGAAGAAAGATAAATATCAAGTACATATCTAGTATAATAATATGAAACTTGATCTTTCTGTAGATCTGTTCGCGCGAAAACTCATTCGCTCACTCGCTCTCACGATGCTCTTCGGGGACAGAACGGTTCCGATTCCGGACATGCTTTTCGTCGTGTACCACTGATAAAAATTTCATACTACTGCCGGTTGCTCTCCGGCTTCTCGGAGGCTATCCTTCGGTTTCTCTCTCCCTCCCTCTCTCTCTCTCTCTCTCTCTCTCTCTCTCTCTCTCGCTTCCTGTCATTCAACATGCACGATAATGCGAATCTCCTTATGCAGCCGAGGAAGTCAGGACCCAGGCTCGCCATGGGAATTTTTCATGCTCTATGCATAATTTAACGAAAGTGCCCTTTATGCCCGCGTTGCTCTCGTAGCCGTATCGTCCTGTGAATTTCATTTCTGTCCCCGCCGCCGGCAACGACGATTGCATCTCTTTCTGCGTCTGCGAATTTATCGAATGATAGAGAAGGGTGAGTGTTGACTGAAATAGGAGTTATGGTAGTTTTGAATAAACAATTGTAACTTTCTTTGGGATTAAATGCGTTAATTTTCTCACTATTTTATTGTTATATTAATTTTATTACGTTAAAAAGCTAAGCTTATAAGCAGCATCATTATTTCATTTCTTCAAGACTATTTATCATATTTTTATAAAATATCTCATATCTCTTCAATAAAGCTATATTATCACTATTACTATTATTATTATTATTATTATTATTATTATTAATG